GCGTTGTGGTGGGCGCCTGTAGTCCCAGCTACTTGGGAGGCTGAGGCAAGAGAATCACCTAAGCCCAGGAGTTGGAGGTTGCTGTGAACTGTGATATCATGGCACTCTACTGAGGGTGATAAAGTGAGACTCTGTCTTTACAAAAAAAAAAAAGAAAGAACGAAAAGAAAAAGAAAAAAGCTAATGATGTCTGTTTGGTATTCCTACACTGGAATTACCCACTACAGCTTCATGAAACCCGGTCAACCGATTATGCCTCTGTCTACTACAACCAAATGGACATGAGGAGGATGCTTACAATTAAGAAGCCAACACTGGTCCATAGAAACAGGCCAATCCTGGGCGATGCCTGTGGCTCAGTGAGTAGGGCACTGGCCCCATATACTGAGGGTGGTGGGTTCAAACCCGGCCCTGGCTGATCTGCAAGAAAAAAATAATAACCAGGTGTTGTGGTGGGCGCCTGTAGTCCCAGCTACTCGGGAGGCTGAGACAAGAGAATCGCCTAAGCCCAGGAGTTAGAGGTTGCTGTGAGCAGTGTGATGCCACAGCACTCTACTGAGGGTGATAAAGTGAGACTCTGTCTCTACCAAAAAAAAAAAAAAAAAAGAAAGATAGAAAGAGGCCAATCCTGCAGGGCAATGCTGTTACACAAACAATGCTGCTCAAAATACAGAAGCTGGTCTTGGAAACTCTGTCATCCACCATATTTACCAGACCTTGCACCAACTGACTCCCACTTCTTCCAGGCTTTGGATCACTTTTTGCAAGCAAAAATATTCAATTCTCAATAAGAAGCTATAGAAAACACCTTTCAAGATTTCATTGCTACTGGCTCTCTAGGCTTCTTCATGGCTGGCATATACAAGCTACTGTTAAGATGGCAAAACTGTGTAGGTGCACACTGTGATTAATTGTACTGCCTCTTGTTTGAGATATAATAAACAAAACTTTTGATTTGAAATTGGATATTTCAGATGTCCAAAATACTACCATACTAGTATTTTCCAAAATAAGAAATTTAAGACTTAAGGCTCAGCGCCTGTGGTTAGGGTGCCAGCCACATACACTGGGGCTGGCAGATTCGAACCTGGTCCAGGCCTGCTAAACAACAATGACAACTACAACAAAAAAATAGCTGGGTGTTGTGGCGGGCACCTGTAGTCCCCACTACTTGGGAGGCTGAGGCAAGAGAATCACTTAAGCCCAAGAGGTTGAGGTTGCTGTGAGCTGTGACACTACAGCACTCTACCGAGGGTGACGTAGTGGGGCTCTGTCTCCAAAAAAAGAAATATAAGACTTCAACCTTACATTCAATAACGTAAGGTTTATTCCTTACATTAATGTTCCTATTAATAGTTAATAAATGTGGTTTTAATGACAGAGGTGAATAATGGGGATTACTAGGGACATATATGCATTTATCACACCATCTTCTGGTTCCAAAAAGTTTCCCTATTCATTTAGAAGGGTTTCCTCATATCTGAAGAGAATTAGTATTATTTCTGCAGCAAGCAAGTTTTTCTACACTGGGTTCACTATATTTTTCCCACCTCTTAGGCCTTCATCTTATAAAGAAAAGTGAAAATGGCAATAATATTATTGCCATCCTAGTACATGAACTATCTCTCTAAGTTGCTGACTAACACTTTGACATTGAGCTTTTTTATTATGTGATCCCGGGAGTAAGGATTTTCCAGGTATTTTATAACTTGGTGATCCATCACATTGCCTCATGATAAGAAAAAATGGGTAGCAAAAACGAAAAGGCTTGGGTGGTGCCTGTGGCTCAAATCAGTAGGGCACCGGCCCCATATGTTGGAAGTGGTGGGTTCAAACCCAGCCCTGGCCAAAAACTGCTATACAAACAAAAAGGCTTCCTAGTACAAAGAAATGATAAATGCTTGTGGTGCTGGATACCCCAGTTACTCCAATTTGATTATCACACATTGTATGCTTGTATCAAAACATCACATGTACCCCATAAATATATACAACGATTATGTACCTATAATTACTAAAAATTATTTTAAATTAAAAAGCACACATTGATTTTGGAAAGATATGTAAAAAGTCCATGATACTGGTTGTCTCTGAGGACAGAAATTAGGTGGGATGAGGGACTTTATTTATTTATTTATTTTGTAGAGACAGAATCTCACTTTATGGCCCTTGGTAGAGTGCCGTGGCATCACACAGCTCACAGCAACCTCCAACTCCTGGGCTTAGGTGATTCTCTTGCCTCAGTCTCCTAAGTAGCTGGGACTACAGGTGCCCGACACAATGCTCGGCTATTTTTTGTTGTTGTTGTTGCAGTTTGGCCAGGGCCGCGTTTGAACCTGCCACTCTTGGCACATGGGGCCAGCACCCTACCCACTGAGCCACAGGTGCTACCTAAGGAGACTTTATTATATTCCTTTTGTACCTTTTTCAGTATTGGATCTATTTGATTACTACATATTCAAAGGCAAATTCAACTTTAAAATCAAAGCAGTATGTTGGGCCTTCTGAGCTGCTAGTGGGCTCTGCCCGATGAACTGTGAAGAAGGCACACCAGGATCATAAGGGCACATGGAGGGGCAGATCTGTGTGCTGGATCCTTAGGTATCTCTAGGTTGATAATAAATTACAGGAAATATGCCTCCGACCATGTAAATAAAACTCATATGTCTGAATTAGCAAAGTGAACTACTGCATTCTTTCAGTTATAACAAAGCCCAAACTGAAGGACTTCAGCTTAATTTTTTAAACATACAGTACAATTCATGTTTCCTCTCAATGGCCACCATTAGAAACTCTCTTTAGCTACACTAATCTGCTAGGGAGTCGCAAACTTCATCTCGTGGCAAACCGATCCTTACCAATAATGAGCTGCTCCAAACGGACACGCTCGTGCGCGGCATGTTGATCCACCAAGACCAGCAGGTTTCCACCTGGACAAGCAAGAAGCACTGGTGTTTCAGATTCTCACATTAAGATTAAAACAGTCATGCTTTGTTGAGGAAGAAAAAGCTTAATTCATTTAACTATTTACAACATGAACACAAGAGAAAACATACTGAGTAGTATATTGTACCTTTTATTTCCTAAAAAAATGAAAATAATGGGGGAAAAGATAAGGAATTTATCCCTGATGAAAAACTTGTTGGTTCATCGCTATTTCATTTATAATAAAAAGTTAGGCCATGTGTGATGGCTCATACCTGGAATCCCAGCACTTTGGGAGGCCAAGGTTGAGAGGACTGCTTAAACCCAGGAGTTCAAGACCAGCTTGGGCAACATAGCAAGATGCATCTCTACAAAATAAATAGAAAAACAGGCTGGGTGCAGTGACTCACACCTGTACTCCCAGCACTTTGGGAGGCTGAGCCAAGTGGAATGCCTGAGCTCATGAGTTCAAGATTAGCATCAAGAACAAGACCCCCAGCTCGGCGCCTATAGCTCAACCGGCTAAGGCGCCAGCCACGTACACCTAAGGTGGCGGGTTCTAATCCTCAGCCCGGACCCG